GTTTCACCCGCTGCAGCATGGAGGGTTCGTTCGCATTCAGTTTATTAAAGAGAACAAAACGCACGCGGTGAGTACATATTCATAAAATAATCCTCTTACGGGATCAAAAAACAACTCGCGGGGCATCTGTTGTCGACACACACCTGCAAACACACATACTCGATCGGGGCCATTTAAAGGGGGTCTTTGGGGGGAAATGTTGGTTAGTCGGTCGGTCGGCGGCGTCTCTGCATTTTATTTTGGCCGAAAAAAGCAGCAAAAAGCGTCGCTGACCTGACGATGATTTGATTTGGGGGTCACTCCGGAGCACATCTGGCCACCCATAAGTCATAAAATTATGCACGGCCACTGCATTTATTTGTGACGAGGGAGCTGCTCTCGAGTGGGGCCCGCGTGACCAATGCTTTATGGAGTCGGACGAACAAATCATCGTCACATGATCACTCTCTTGTTTGCACGCTCCCGATAATTTAATATGGCGTGCACTTTTTTCTGCCGCGAATGATCCTGCCTGCCTGCGGCTTGTGGACATTAATCACCTCCGCTGCAATGATTCTCGCGTTGTTCGCGGTGGACACCGCGCTAGGGGTCAATTGTTGTCTGTGCGCATCAGATTTTTATTAGTTCATCGTTTAGTTACACTTTGTGAGCTCGAAACACTGGACATTATTTCATTAATAACAAATTTAATAAAATTACAGACAAACTCAAAAGACTGTATCTGTAAAAAGTCTCTATTTTATTTTCTATTTTTCCATTTTTATTTTATTCCAAAGAAGAAATTAGGAATAAAACACTGTTTGTAAAATAATGCTGGAGAGTTTATAAATTTCAAAAAAATTAGAAGCAACCCAAATAAATGAGAAATATTTGGTCAATTCAGTAAAAATAAAAATAAAATGTTTATATTATTAGGAATAATACATACTTGCATAATAATTCATATCTTATTAAATTAAAAAAAAAAAACTATATCTTTATTAATAGGGAGATATTTTTTTACTTCAATTCTAGCCTGGATGTTAACTGGATGCAGCAAAATATTCAATAATGGTTTGAATGACGTTCAGGTTGATTGAGAGGGTTCATCGCTCACTCTCGAGGGAGGTGTCACTGGCATGAAATGCTCTTTTCCTTGCTCAAAATTTGTTCTCCACAGCATGGGTAGACTTCTTCACGTCTTTGTGAGATTTTCTACATAATCAATCAGGTAGCAAAATTTCAATTCTTAATCTCTTATTATTTTATTTATTTATTATTATTACTTTTTTTTGTTAATTTCAAATAATGTAATGCCAACTTCTTATGACAGAAAGAGCTACTATTGAGCACTTCGTAATTAGTATGACTGATGACCCTTTTTTTACATTCCCTTTTGATACTAGAAATTTAAAATTATTATTTAAAATCTTTAATTAAATATTCATTATATGGAAAAATATTATAAAAAACTGATAAAAAATAATATTTTTTGTTTAATTTTAATTTTGTTATAAACCGATTAAATAATAGATATATTTTATTTTTGTAAATGTAAGAATTCAAAAATTATTTTATATTATTATAAAATAATTTTTTAGTTGTAAATTATATACTTAAACACAATTGTTGATTGAAATATTATTAAGAAACGCTGTTTCTGGACCATTATTTAAAATAAATCTACCGTGCAGTGTCTGTGTTTCCTAAAAGGCCGGTTCACAAATAAGCTATTAATCTTGCCAGAGTAAGAAATTACGTCCCTTTCTTTCATTCTTTTTATTGCACACGACGCCGATATATCAGCGTTACGCAGCAATAAAGCAGCCAGAATTTCTCCTGGAGGAAACTGAACGAAAAAATCGCGTCATATTTTTCTGCCTTCCACTCGATTGCGCTTTTCGGGACCGGCAGATGCTCGGCCGAGCGCATCAATATTCATATCGACCAAATTCTTCTTTTTTCGAAGCAAAAAATACACGCAGAGGGTCGAAAACAAATCGCATTTGTTGAATGAGACGCAAATTAAGCGTGCGGCCTCATTAGGGGCAAAAAGATCCCTTCGAAATCGGCGCACGCCACATAACTATAAACGTGCCACGTGCGTGTGTTTTTGGCCCCGGACATATTTCCCGCGGGCAATCTATGTAGATTCGAAAAGAGAGGCGGCTGTTTTGTCATACATGAAAAAAAAATCACCAGTGCCCGGCCACATTGACACCATAACAGTGGCCGTGTGTCGCAACAATAATGACTCCTGGGGGAGAAGGTATCATCTCTATGAACGCGGTGGCCGCATTATTATTGTCATTGCCCTCCCTTCTTTTTCTCTTTTTTATCTGAAAAAAGCACGAGTGTTTGTGTGTAAATACAAATTCGACGCACGGCTCGATTTTTTAGGATGAAAAAAGCTGCTATTGACCACCAGATACTTTTTTCGGTGGTCACGCTGAGTAATTCCGATTTTGTCACCTCGCTTGTTGCATTATGTGTGGAAATGCAGATGAATAGGGAAATTATGACGATGCATTTTTACGAGCCGGTCACTTGTATTTTTTGCTGTTTATGAGAGGAAAATCCATAAATTTTGCATATTGTTAACGATTGGTTTGCAGCTTGCGATTATTTGCAGGTTAACAAACGAGGGGATTGATTGTCTGGCTTGAAAAAGAGAGGAGAGAATTCGAATTAGGCAGCCGGGCGTTGCACAGCTGCTCGACAAATTGCCTAACCAGGATGCTCGCAACCAGCCCAGCCTGAGGTTGGAAAAATTGCAATTTAAAATTGTGTTAATTTTAATTTATTTAGTATTTACAGTTTTAAAGAAAATTTAACAGTGTTTTAAGTTTTTATGACAAAGCAAAATATTTTTTTTATATAAAAATAAATTATAAAAGTTTTTTTTTAATATTAAAGTTTTATGATTTTATAATGCATTATCATTTTAATTTCAAGTCATTCATGTTGAATTTTATTTAAAAATTTTAATTGGTTTTGTTATATTACTAAATATTTTGTTATTTATAAACTTTTTCTGTTAATCATACAAGATAACGATGTTTGCACAAATGTTATTTTACACAATTTTTGTCCACATCCATTATTTACATGACCTCAAAAATAATAAAATGAATACAAAAATTACTATGAAGACAGAAACTTTAGTAATATTATCAAACAATTGCCTTGTTGATTTAAATAACTATAAATATATATTTCATTCTATGCGATACTATTTATGTTTTTTTGCCGCTAGCTTTTATTTTTGTAGCAATATTTTTTCCCATTTTACTCCTGTCAACGGTTGTCATCATTTCACCCAGTTTTATAGTTGCAAGAACAAAGAGCGCGGAAATGTGTTGGTTAGTAAATTACACCCCGCATAAAAAAACGTGGAAATCGTCCGAGTCAGTTTATGACTCGCGCTGTCAAGCGCACGCGAAGGAGATAATTGATTTGCGCAAACATCGTTCTAGGATGATTCGACAAAAGCGTTTGCCGCAAAAAACAGCAATCGATGATTGCTCGACGCTTCATTAATGACTTCAAAATCGACTGCCGTCGCCAATGAAAAGTGCATTTTATTCTGTCGACAGAAATATAAGCAGGGGAGTTTCGCGCAAACAAACAAAGAAAGAAAAAATCCCCAGCTGCCGCGTATCAAAATGCTACTTTACGGCCGCTCAGCCCCTGCCCGCTTTTGATCATATTTTTCAAAAATAATGAGTTTAAAAAAAGAAAGAAAGAAGTCTATTTGTTCGGCCTGCAGATAAGCAACATCCCCCTGACCATATCAAAGCTGACCCTCTCTGGAAAAAAAATGTCTCTCTCCTCGTAAACAATCCGCGCAATCAGCCGAGATTCGATTTTGCATGCTGCTTGAATCGGCACGAAATAAAAAAAAGAGATCTCCCCAGAAAGGCACTTGCCACTCAATATTTTTACTGCCCCGGGGCATAAAATTTTATACATTCGCCGGCCGCGCACCACTTCCTCTGATTCACCCCCAATGGGATAACACATTTCAATTTTCTTGTGCACGCGCGTCTGGCCGGTTGCATACCTAAAAAAAGAGATAAAATAGTGTACAGTGGACAGTAAAGTGCATTACCCTAAGTGCTCGCTCTTTATTTTTACTGCCCCGTTTTACGCTCGCGGTCATCAAACGCGCCGGCGAAAATGCATAAACCCCGAATCTGAATAATAAAAATTGACACCAGTGAGCGACACGGATTTTATGAAGTAGTCCTCGCCCGCTTTTTTATTGTAATTGTAAATCGCCCGCTGGTGTCGCTGTCGTGGAGATAACAATAAATAATAGGGAAAGCAGGGAGGTTTTACGGCGCGTATCCAGAAAAATATGGGCGGATGAAAAAGTGTACGTTGTAAAATTTGAAATGTCTTTATCTGGATATCGATTTTCATAATGTGAATGATATTTTAACAATTTTTTTCCCAATTTAAAATTCTAGTATGGACCGAGAAGAATAAATAATAATAACATTTATTGTTAGAAAAAATGCCAAACTAGTAAATTTGTCTATTGCTCGTTATATTGTGCTTATTATGTCTTTGTGAATTTAAAATCAACTGATATTTATTATTATTTTACTATGTTTTTAGTGTTTCTAACTTTTAATTTGCATTATATTGTAGTATAATATTATTTAAATTATTTTTATATTTAGTGTTTTGCATTTATTTTTATTTATATATATAAATTTATTTGTTCTAAATAAGAAATGATTTAATGATTTTAATTGAATAGAAAAATATATTAAGTTTATACAATAAATTGATTTAATTTAAAAAATAAGACTTTGTGATTTTACAGGAGTGGTCTATTATCAATTAATTTGAAATATCTACGTCGTTTACGTCGTTTATGTGTAGCTGGTCAACATTAATATCAAATAATTTTTACCAAATTTGTTCAATTCAACATTATTTGCAATAAATTAATTATTCAGGAATGAAGTAATTAAAATTATTTTCCACACTTTAATAATTGTTTATTCAGTTGTAAAAAAGTTCAACTTTGTACAAGTACCAAGAAGAGAGTTTCCTCTATTTACAACAATTTTTGAAAGAACCGAGTGAACATACAGCTAAAGTTCTAAAATCTAAATTAAAAATCGGTAGGTAGGTCGTACAAAATAATGGTCCATCAGCTTTCTTTCCTAACAATAGTAGGACAAGATTATTTTTTACAAAAATTCCCTCACCCTGGAGGAACATACGAATACGAGAACACGTCTGGTGGTTCGTGTTGATAAAATATATAAGTCTTATGTACATTTTGGTTGAATTAGGCCTGGCTGGGAGTTCAGTCCGATGACCAGTTTCTGCTCATCATCAGCGAAAGCGCCAGAGTGACCAACTTGAGCGTTGACCCTGTCGAGGATGAGGAGGAAGAAGAGGTGGCGGGCGTGGAACTCTTGCTCGACGGAGACTTCGGAGAAGCAGGTGAAAAGCTCTAAAACAGTTACAATGGAAATTTAAACTTTATTCTTCAAATAAAAAGTCTAATCAAATAAATGACTATTTAAATTAATGGCGTAAATAATAAAACATAAATAAAATTTATTAAAAAAAAACTATTAACTATCATTGATAAAATATGAAAAATAAAAAAAATCTTCTACTACCATAAATAGTTTTCTTTTAATTAGATAACTCAACTAACCTGGCAAGACGTTTCAAGGTTGATGGTGTCGGCAATGGTCCTCAGGTCGCACCCAACTTTGCTCCACTCAGCTGCGGTGCTGCTCTCCACACTCTTGGCACAAGTCTGATTATTCTGCTGGAGCAAAAGATGTCCGGCCACACCGCGGTTGGCCAGGTTGAGCAGCATCGTGGCAGCTTGGCTTCCGGAGGCAGGTGGAGGCGGCGGCGGCGGGTTTCGGGGGCCGTTTTGCTGGTTCGAGTTGGAGGAATTCGGAGATGAGCGTCGGCCGCGAGCAGAAGAGTTGCGGCGACGGTGACGGCGAGAACCACCACCAGAACCACCTGAGTGGACAAACACAAAAAATGATTCAAATAGGAATAAAATTATTTAAATTTTTTGCAAAAATAAAACTTGAAGATACTTCCAAATTGTGAAAATCTTAAATAAGATAGCAATCAAATAGGAATAGAATTTATTATTAAATTGACACTTTCAATTAAACAGTTCAGATTTGCGGTTCTCTTTATAAATTAAGAGTTAGATTTATTTGCTATACTCTTAGAATATGATGCTAAAAATTAATGCAAAACACAGGTAAATTGAAATAATTGGAAACGGTAATTCTTTGTTAATTAATTCTTCCTCGCAATTTTGAAAATTAATTTTTTATTAATATTTATAAATAAAAGTAATTTAGGAAAATTTGTATCATCCTTGTGGATATATTGAAATTTCTTAAAAATAATTTTTGAAAGAAAAACAATTTGATGGAAATTATAAAATGCAAATCAATCTTAATTATTCGGACTTTGCCTACCTCTGGGTGGATGTTGGTTGCTGGCCGAAGTGGAAGGTTGCACCTGAGGTTCCATCAGGGCGCGCAGGACGAGGTACAACTCGTAGAGGATGCGTTCGAGACGGCGGTACTGCTCCTCGACGAGTTCCGAATCGTTGGTCAAAGGAATGGCCATGGCTGTCCGGAGGTAAACAAGTGCACGTGAGACCGAGTTTGAGGCGCGAGAGCGGCACGAGGTGAAGCACTCGCGGGCTGGACCAAGTATGACTCGGTGTCGCGCACCCCCGGTGTATTTAAAATCGAGGGACGCCGTCGCTGCTCGGTGGAGGGGTGAAGGGGACGCGCAGGGGTGCCACCCCTCCTCCCGAGCGCTTCTCCCCCCTCGCGGCGACTAGCATAGGCGGGGGTAATTAATTTCGGTATAGCTAGTTGCATCAACCCCTTAATTAGAATCAAACTGCTGCTTTTTAAACGCGATAATGAAGTGCGCGGCTCCCGAGGAGAAGGAGGCGGAGTTATTTTATTCTCTCGGAGACGAAAACACAAACTTTGTGGGTCAACCGAGATAAATTTACAGACGTCACGCCGCGGCAGCTTTTTCCATTCACCAAAGTTAAATGGTGCGGCGTGGCCAGGTGTTTGTCACTATTTAGCGTCTGATTGTAACACACACGCTAGGTCGAGTGCAGCCTTCTTTTTGAAATAAAAAAATCATAATAAAATCGCGGTTGATTTTGTGCGGCTCGCGGCAAGGGGTAGGCGGAAAATAATAAAAATGCATACTGTGTGCATATTTATATCGAGAACTCTATTCAGCTCTGCATGAATGGAGCTGCAATTTCATTATGATTTTTATTTTCTGGGGAAGGATTTGAATTTCAAATTTTTTGCCTGATGGCGGCAATTATTTTGTCAAAATAATGAGACAGTTTTTTAAATTGAGGCTACAAAAAAGAACCACAAAAATTATAAGATTCAAAATAATTTTAGATTTTTTTTTGCTACTTGCTTCTTTTCTATTAATACTTTTCGTCTAAATAAACATTTTTCGGATAAAAATACTAGGAAATTATATTAGATTTATGGCTCATCAGTTTTCTAATTTTTATATTTTATCTCACAGCTTCATTCCGACTTCAAAATATCCCAGCATAAATTTTCAAAAATTTCAATTTAGTTTAATCAAAACACACTGAAAGAAGGATTAAAATGGATTAAATTATTACAGAGGTTCTGATATTACAAATTGGCCCAATTAATTTTGCTCAAAATTTCAGTGAAAAATTGCCTTGAAGACAAAAGACAATCTCCTTGCCCTTCCTTGACCCTTTTAAACCAAAATTAAAGGAAGAAGTTTTCTTTCTAAAACAAGAGGCAACAACCAAATAAATGATTCATGATTTGAATTACTTAATCAGAAGCCTCTCCTTGAAGCAAATCAAACAAACCTAATTTTTGTCTTAATATCCTTTTTTTTATCTGAAATAAAATTTATATTATTTGAGAATTTTTAAACATAATTAGATTGACTATTTATACAATTTTTTTCATTTCAAGTTATTTAACAGAGGAAAATAAGATGGAATTAATTTTATTTTTGTGAATATCTTAAATATGGACAAATTAATTTGATAATTTCCTTAATTATTCTTATTTTATTTGGTTCTATCTTATTTCTAATTAATAATTCTCAATTGCATCCCAAGGGAAAAATTAATTTTTATATAAACCATCAACCGTGTCTTTTTATTTTCATCCCCAATCTCGGCGCATAATCCCATATAATCCCAGCACTCCATCAATTAAGCAAATTTTCACGTCAGGGTGATTACGAATGCGTTTTGGAGATCTTTCTAATCCCTTTCACTCCTGCTCTCTCCCTTACTCGGGTGATTATTATTATTATGTTGGCTCGCGCGCGGATTGTAAAACAATATTTTGAATTGGCATGCGGGCGATCCGAGAGCGAGTGGCGCGTCAAGGGGCTGCGCCGCTTTTGTGACTCAACATTCGTCGTCTTCACTTCTTTGGCAGGGCACGTGCCATTGTTTGGTCATTAAGCGTTCATTCACATTCTCAGCTTATCGTGTTTTGCCGCAGTTATTGGCTCGTCACCACTCGAGAGTGCATCGCTCTCCGCATTCACTCTCCATCCGCGAGTTCATACCGCCCTAATTACGCTCGTCGGCGATAACGAGCAGTGAAAATAATACAATACTCGGAATAGACACGTACAATTACTACACGTGCCGAAGTAAGCTAAGAAAATGAATCAGGAGAGGGAAAGTGACAATTATTACGCAAACAGATACTTGATGATTAAGAAATAAGAAGATGAGTGTGTGAGCTTGTTAGAGCGAAATGAAAGAAAGTGAGAAATTAGAGTTTATGGAACTAATGAGCTATTCATGTTTAGCGAACACTGCATAATGACAAAAAAAAAATAGTTCTTAAGAAAAAAAAACGTAGGTTTTTAATTAAGTCGTTCTTCTTGCTATATATTATTTTTTAACTTATTGTTTTATACATTTTTGTATCAAATTTATTTCAAATAAAGTTTTAACAAAATCCATTATTTTTTATGTTATTTATTCTTTTTTTATAATAAATCATTTTAAATTTAAACAATACAAATATAAACTGTTCTTCATACACTCTACATATTAGAATCACCGCAAATGATAATCTTCAGTTTTAAAGATCGGTTTTCCGAATTAATATATATTATGACCTTAAATGAATAGATAAAAGAATCTTAATATGAAAACTAAGCATTGAAAGAACATTGCAATCACGAGAAGATTTGATTCAACTTTTAATTTTTAAACCTGATTATAAAAAAAGGAATCAGTAAAATTTGAGCTACATCTTTTCTTAAAAATGTCTGGAATAATTTTGTTTGGATTTCTTTATACAAATTGAGTAGCTTTCAGTGTAATTGATTGGACCAATTTTTAGCAGTGGATGATTCTTAAATTTTGAATGTTTCTAATTGATAGAATGCTTAAGGAGGAACTTCAATAAAAAAATTTAAAAATCTTAGTGTGTGCAAAAAAAAATATCTGTTATTGTGTGCGCTCTGTGCAGACTTAAATTTTATTTCTGGCAAACATTTTTCCTTTTTTATTAAATTAAAATTTCTTTTCCAATTGTCATATTCTAAATTTTGCTTTGTTGCGAAACAATGCGTGACATCAACCTGCAGAGCAGACGCGTTGCCAGCGAGTGGATGCTTTGCAGATTAGCGTGCAGACAGGCCTATAATGTTACGCTCGTAATATGCACAACAATAAAAAAAATCACCCCCCGACTCGTACCCAGGCAACAGCCACCCCCGTAATTTTTTAATTTCCCCTCCTGCGCTCGTGACGCGTCCTCCCATTCTTTCGTTTTATTTTACAATCGCAGGCAGTCAAATTTTTAAATTGCCACGCACATGTTAGTATTAATAAAAAGACGCGGCGGCGCGCGATACTTTTAAGTGTTTCTATTTGGCCGAGGGTAATAAGGTGTGTAATCTGCATCACAATAAAAAAAGAAGCAGAAGCCTCCACTTCCGTATTCTTATGCATTTTTATGAGAGGCCGCTTTTTTATTGTCGCTCTCTTTTTATTATTGGAATTACTTGTAATGTCTCTTTCGTTTTATCACACGCGCCGCACAATGAGAGATAAAAGTACCCAATTTGCTAGATTAATTTTTCTCCTCCTCCTCCTCGGCCGGGCCAGAATAAGTTTATACTTTTCTCCGCGAAAATATATATAAAAGTGAAGCCGCCGGATGAACGGAAATGCGCGGAAAAGGTAATATTTCCACAATAAAATTGCCGAATAATAAAAATTATCCCGGCGCGCTTCTGCACATAAAGATGATACGCGTTTTTATTATTAATGCCTGTTTTATTGCTCTCTGGCAATATGACTGATAAGCTCGAATATTTATTGCACATTATTTTGTGCGGAAAACTGTCGTTATACTCGGCGGGAAGTTGTAAAATGCGGCTCTTTGGTTTTCGTTCGTTTTATGTTGATTGAAGGTTCTTTATCTGATTTGCCCAAAGCGATACATACAAGTGGAGAGTTCAAAAATTCCTCTGCCATCCAAATGAACGCCCTAAAAATGAATTTTTATCCATTATTAATTTATTTAATTAGATAAGGCTCAATTATTTATATTCATTTATTCAATCACCTTATTGTTTTTAATTTCTTTACTATGATTGGCACTTGTTATTTTCCTGGAACATTTATTTTTGTCTTTTTGTTACCATATCTTCACATATTCAAATTTTTTCGCTTAATTTTTTTTACTTGTTTCGTAATAAAAAAAAAACAGCAACAATATTTCTATAGTCTTACTTTTCAAATTTGTTGTAACATTAAATTTTTGGAAATATGTACAAGTTTCAATACAAATCATTAGCGGAAAATTGAATTTTTAATAATTGATGTGATAAAATATCAGTGCAGTCGGGATTTTTTTTCAATAAAAATTAGAGCATTAAGTCACCTTTTCTGGCATTCATTGTCAGAGATAAAAAGTTTGAAAAACATGAAACCAAGGCACAGAAAATTTATGCTATAAATTTCTTCTTTACTTATTTTGTAAAATTTTAACATTTTTAGCAAAAAAAAAATGACTTAATTGAAATATTCATATGTATTCGTAAAGAGAATTTGGAGAATTGCTTAATATTTTTATTTTTTTTGTAGGCAATATGTTCCTCAATCACAAATTCTATTCCCACACAAAATTATAAAAAACTATTGTTTTAATTACTCACAATGAATTTGGAATTGCGCCGTGATTGCAGTTTGAAAGCGACACTCAACTCTTTACTTCCGGTTTTGCGACTTTTCCCAGGCTCGCGACCGCTCGATTTTCCTTTGTCAACTGAGTAAATAATAATATACAATTAATGCGGGCTAATTATACGCGATTGGAAAGTCAAACCACCACTCATCTTGCACTGCATAATTATATAAATCCACCCCCAAGTTGACATTTTTATTGTGCCTGTGCGCCAATTAGTCGCACACGTTCTTGGCACCCTCGGCTTGCGTTCGACTCCACATTCAATAATATTTGTCACCGCGGTCCTTGACTCGACTAGTGCGCTTAATTGCGTATGCGAATCTCAAGAGCAGCCTCTCGTCAAGTCCTCTCGAAATCGGCACACGAATAATCGCACCGATTTCTCACGCTCGTCATCATCTGGAGGAACTTTGCATTTTAAGTGTCTCTTTTTCGCCGCGTTTCGGCCTCATTGAGCTCGACGAAAAGGGTTGCTTACGCGTCATTTGCTTTTTCATTGGCTGCCTCCCCACGATGCGTTTTTTGTTTCGTCGCGGCGTCACCCTTGGCGCGTCAGAA